GCAACTTCCTAATCCACAGAAATCCTCAAAACGATCAGCTTATCTTATGAAGAGCTTAGAGAGCCGGCCTCATTGTCGCACTAACCCAAGCCTAATAAGAGCACAGCCCCACCCATGAGTAGACCGTCAGGACTTACTACGCCACTGAGCCCTGAATCGTAGGCTTGACCCACAAACTCCTTTCAGCAAACAGCCCAGTGAAGATCAAACCACAAGGACCGCACCCACCTTGCAACTGGGTCGACTCCAATGGGTCATTAAATTCAAGTTTTACTGGCACAATGTTGAGCCCAATCAAGACCCAAATAGCCTGGGTTGAACCCAAACCATAACAAGCATGTTCCAAGAACCACAAGAATCCCATTGATCCCACGCATTCTCACGGGCTTGCCAAACGCATTGAACCGGCCCATTCTCGGGCCTTCCATCAAACAGCCCTGAAGCCCAGAAACCTGGCCCACCATGTGCATCACCACACTTCCGGCAATATCAATCGCACCGGACCCAAATAAGAGTGGGTTCGAGTTGGGACTCAGCCACCCACTGGAAGACCCAACCCTGGGCCGTAATTCTAAGCACTGAACTGGGTTCGCTCAGCTATAGAGCCACTGGTTGTCCGAGAAACAGCTGTGGCTAAAGCCCATTGGTAGAGGAAGAAACTATAAGGGCTTGGAATGTGAATAGATTCAATTCAACTACTAACAGTAAAAGAGTTGCATGCTCTGATTTTCTTCAGAAACAACCAAGCATAATCCTTCTATAGTGGAACAATAGGTTCATATACAATAACCAGCTGCTAGTCTAGGCTCCCCTTTAGGTAGTGAATATAACCCATGCTTCCCCAATCGTCTATTTATATGTTTATGTACGTATACAATACAGGGTTTAAATATACATCTGCACCCAGCAATTTATATAGAAGAATCAGTAGGAGCTGATATAACCGGCGTCATCCCCAGCTTTAATTCGACTTGTGAGAGACGGTCTCATCGTCACAATAGCAGATTCATTAGCTCCGGCATTTAGTGCTGCCTTTCCAGCTTCCAGGAACCTCTTGACAGCATCCTCCGCATATCTGTTGGCCTCACCCACTGTCAATTGTTTGCCAATATATGGGTAAGCATTCAGAACGTGATCGCCATTGAGTTGTGATGCAAGCTGGATCAGTTCAACTTGGAACTCTGAGAGACTTGCATCTTCTTTTGGTCCCCATGGCCTCAATAACCTAGTTATCTCTGGTAGGGATTCTGTATCCATGTATAAGAATTATGAATAAGAATGAGACACGTTAACAGATCTTCAAAATGAAGCCTGTAATCTACGAATTTTGAAGATTAATATAAAAACAGATTTACGGGTTCAATCAACAAATAACACGAAACATGCAGAAGTGATGGATTACATCAATTAGTTCATACTTCCACCATATCTCATACAATTTTGTTGAGAATCTTCATTATTAAGAAAGTCACATTTGGTAAACAGAAAAGTTTGGTGCAATTTAGTTTTATGCTCAAGGAATTGATACATACCTGGACAATCATCACGTGGAGTTTTACGTAAGGAAAAGTACTTCTCGAAAGTACCAGCCCATGCATCCCTCTTGGTCAGGAAGTTTGTTTTCAGGTTGAAAAGCTTCTTGACAGTTGCTGGGATGGAAGAATGTTCAAATTGAGAACTTGGTGTAGGCCCATCTGGCTCATGGATAACTGCAGCAAATAATCCAGAGTGAAACTTAAAATATGATACTCCAAGAAATGAACATTTTTCAGCATTCAAAGGCTTTTAAGAAGAGCTTCAAATTGACCAAGGAGACCTAAATATTCTTACACCTAGATGTACTGAAGTTGGCTGAGGAATATGTCGGAAACGATATAAAGTTATAACTGTGAGAAGTTGGTGTAGCTAAGTACTCCAGACCTCCCGAGGGTCTGGTTCATACCCCTGCCCCTTGGGCAAAAGACGGTCCAAGCCAGCAAGGGCAGTTGTAGTAGCTCATAATTAGCTAAACTACACATAAAAATGGAAATAAACTTCAAACCAAGCTAAATCCAGTTCTCTGATCCAAGGTAAGTACGATTAGAAGGGGGATAAAGAGAGAAAACAAAACTTCAGTAATCAAAGCCATTAGTTTGTACCTATATTTACCAAGATTTCACAATATCTAAGATACACAATTCTCCATGTGGAAACTCTGTAGTCAAGTTACAGCAACAAAAGAGCATCTCCTTCGGAAATTAGGTCTTTATAATTTCTAGGATGCATGGGAAGAGAAAGCTAAAGTAGAGAAGAACCACTTTATGGAAACACTGAAAGTGCAACTGAAACCCTTAGAAACAGCAGACGCCACTCGATGCGTCCAGTTGGAAAATACAATACCAAAACTCGGAACACAAAGTCTGGTACTTTTATCGAAGAGAAAAACCTAAAATCCCAAACCAACAACACTGTTGTATTTATGTTAGGAACTTAATTAGACAGTTCCTTCTTTGTCACTTTCGTTTTTCCTCTTATTCAAGGGAAGAAAAAAGTTCAGATAAAAAAATATTCAACCAACATAATTTATTCCTTACACGCCAAAGAAAAAGACGATAAAGAAAACAAGCAAGAAAAAGTCATATAATTGAAAAGAAAAAGTCAAAGATGTCAATTTCTCATCATCACAAAACAAGAACAGAATTATCAATCCATACCAAGAACATGTAAATTCAATAAAATTCAGATCCAAACACTCCTCAACTATCATTTTTACCAGCCATAAACCACCACCATGCTTGATGAAATAACACAGTTTAATTATTGATTTAATTAAATTGATTACTACTTTTAACACACAGTAACCTAATTCCTATATGCTTAAAGATACTTGTGATGAATCTCAAAATTAATTAAATTTCTGAAACAATCCCAAGGGCACCATTTCCTTTGCTTTCAGATTACCAAGATGTCAAACCCTAGGGTTAGTCCGCTCGACTTGTATGGTAATTTCATGGTTTGATCTCAAAAAAGAAGAAAAACACACAGAAGAACTCACTTACCAGTTCCCTTTTCAATCCACGGCGAGATGAGGAACGTGGGGACCCGAACACCCAACCGATCGAAACGGAAGTAATACGGGTCGGGTCCGATGATACCGTCCGGGTTAGGCACGCCCGAGACAGGAGTCGGTACGTGATCGTAGAACCCACCATGCTCATCGTAGGTTATCAATAACGCCATTTCTTTCCACTGCGGGCTACTCCTCAGTATCTCGTACACCTCCTTCACGAACTTCTGTCCGATCGCCACGTCATGCGACGGATGATCATCGTTGGCGGGAAACAGGTCAATGTCAAAGTACCGTTGCTCCACCACCACATAGTTGGGGAGCTTCCCTAACGTAGCGTGCAATTTGAATTTGAGTGCGTAGTCGTGGAACTTGGTAACGTGTTTTAGCTTTCTCAGGGATTTGAAGAAGAGAGTAGCGGGGATATTTTGGTAATAAACTCCAAAACTCAGCCCGTCTTCTTCCAGGGAATCGAAGATGGTTTTCTGCGGGAATCCGAGGATGAGATCCTTCTTCACGTTGCTCATGGCTCCGTGAGAGGTCGCCGAGTGGACGTAAAACCGGTTTGGCTGAGTCGAAGCAGGAACCGACGCGAACCACCGATCGAACACGGCGAACTCATTCGCTAACTCGGTATAAACCGGCAAAACCTCCGGTTTGAAACCGCTCATTACGTTCTTCGCCATGCCTTGGTCCATGCCCGCCGCTTGTTGCACGAAACCGTTCATCGGAGCCGGGTTCGCGGAACTGTCGTTCGACCCGAAAATTTGTTCCCGGATCGCCTGAAAGGAATGGCCCGGGTCCGAATTAACGAACACAGCATCATCCGAGACGAAAACCTCGGGGGAGTTCATATCAGATGCATTGAACCGGTTAAACTCAGCGCCGGTCAGCCCATCGATTTCGGGTCGGGTCGACTTGAGCCAACCCAAGATGTGGTCAAATGAGCGATTTTCCATTACCAGGACCACTATGGTTTTGATTGGTCCTTGGATACTCTTGCGCTTTTGTAAATTATCAAAGCTGCGAGACTGGGAGCAAACTATCAGGTAGAGGAGTAGAGTGATGGCTAATGGTACTTTCCGGGAAGCCATTTTCCGGCGAAAGGAAACCGGAGTAATCCCGGGTATTTGATGAAAAGCGAAAAAAGGTCGAACCTTCTGTTATGAAGTCGCCGGGGAAGGAAGTAGTGAGGAAATTAAATTGAAGGAAGAGGATAAGGACACATCGGCATATGCTTTGAGAATAAAAATGGGGAACTCCATTGCTTTAATAAATTCTGAAAATGATTTTTTGACTCTTTCTTTTTGGTTCTGAATTTTCTTATTTGTTATTTTTTTTTTTGTCTTTAGCTTTTTTGTTTAAGAGACTTTTCTTGGTTGTGTTCACGATAAGCACATTCCAACGCTGGGAAAAGTATATATATTGAATACCACTACTCTGTTTTAATTATATATATATATATATATATAATGGTCTTTCAAGAGTCAAGCTTAGAGAAACTTCAACTCTAAAACTGACAAGTAGTAATTTTGAAATTTACTATTTGGTACTTTTCACTTAAAATAAATTATTATTTTAAGAATTTTGAGTTAGTGATATAAAAAATTAATGCACATGTATTAAACTAGGATTTTGAGTAGTATTTAAGTTGGAAATTTTCAGTTTTATTTATTATAACATAATATATTAGACTCCAAACCCAATAATTAACTTATAATGTAACATCATCATCATTATTATTATTATTATTATTACTACTATATAAAAATTGATGAAAGGGGAAACGTTAAGCACCGGAATATTTTGTTGCTTTTAATGTATTGAAGGTTAAACAATAATTTGTTGTATTGATGTATCGATTTGTATTTCGTGCATAGGATGGAAAAAAACGTAAATATAGTAATAATAATATTATTATATACATATATATATATTCAACGAGTTTATAAATATATATATTTAAAATATAGGTTGTTTGATAATTTCAAAAAAACAAGGAAACCTCGTTTCTATTAAAGCTTTATTTAAATCAAACTTTGTCGCGAGATACTGGAGAGTGTGAACATGTTGTAACGAGGATATTTTGAAAATAACGTAATTCTGGTACTACATGTTGTACAATACCGTTTAACACCGTATGGTGTAATTTTGTTTTTCTTACTAGATAAAATTTTGTATCAAATTTAATATATGATTCACTATAACACTTGAAGATGATTTTAAAAATATATTTGGTTGGCCATAATTGACCCAAAAAATAAGAGGGTAAGCGTATATTTCGAAAACACAAAAAGATAAGTGGACCATAGATCAATTTATAAAGTGATAATGATCATTTATTCCGAAAATTTAAGAAATTTATTTTAGAGAAAAGCAAGGATACCTTAGATGTGAAAAATAATTTTCAGACGTCTAAAAAATTGAAGATGTAACATTCTGAGAAATAATTATATAATTAAGATCAAAGATCTGAATTGATCATTTGAATTATAATTTTTTATTTATTTTAAATTTTTTTATTAATAGGCTATATTTAGAATTAATAGATTCTATGAAAACAAAAAATAAAAAATTCAAATAAATTTTATATAAAATTTGAAGTTCATTTATTTATCGTAATTGTAATATAAATACAAAAGGGTTGATTCTTTTATACTGATCCATCATCTAATTTTTATTGTAATTGAGGCCACCGTCATAAATAACGATCGAGAAAGGTGACCGCAGAGGTCAACTACGGCGGTTCAAAAATTTATAAGCCATGGTTTTATGACAACAACAATTCAACACACACCAGTAAAGAGTGCTGGGCAAAATAATTGCCGTGAACAACTTGGTCACGAGGGTTGATTTTATGAATGTAATAATGTAAACCCACTAATCCCACCAACCAGGGATTTGTCTTGGACAAGATATATGCACATCACATCAATCAAACGACTCCACAACTAAAATACTTGAAGAGAAACTTTTAGTGTACTTCTCAATCAAATTGATGATATTTACGAGACCTATGGTTAAAGCACGGAACAAATATTGACACCTATTCAAAATTAAGATATATTTTTTGATCAATTATTCAAACTATGATATGTTTTACTTGATGTCGAGACACTAAAATTTGTCGAAACAGTTCCACGGAAAATTGTGTGTATATATATATATATCTATTATATTACAACTTTAATTCTCAGATTGAACCCTTAATTTTGTTTTGGTTTCACTCGCGTATGTATAAATCAGGATGTTAGCTACCAACAGGACGTTGGACATGTCCGGCTCTTTCCACAAAGAGAGTCCGGGTTTAAAAAAGGAATATTAATTTAGTAGTAGATTATAAGTTGTAATATTTTGTAATTTAATTTTGATATTTTACATAAAATTCCTTTAAACTTTTGCCCGTGTTTAAACTTTTTTAATAATAATATATATAAATTTAACACTAAAGATGTCAAATTTAAAAATAAGAAGATAATAACTTAACAAAACTAAACCAAACCATAACAAGTAGATAGTCATAGAAAAAAGACTAGATCTAAAATTGTAATTTGACCAAATAATTTTTTATTCCCAGATTTGAAGAGCTAAGCCAGTGAAATTTCTCAAGGGCTTCCCTTACCAAAAGAGAATTCTAGAATTTTGTCAAAGTTTGAGCCAAAAAAAAAAAAATCTCGTTAAAGTCTTATCTAACCTACCAATAGAATAAGAAAGATAATGCAGATAAATATCTGTTTCATCGAAAGGGTTTCTCCAACAGAAGAAATATAACTATACAAGACATTTCCCTTTTCTTAAAAAATGACAAGCTTTCGGGATCTGAAATAAAGATAATTTCAAACATGAATTTTTTATAAGGAAAAACTGAAGGTGGGTAGAGGTGTAAGAGAACTTATCAAATTAGGCATGGTTTGTAATTAAACGCAGACATACCTTCATGGTCCAGCTAATCTTTGACAGAAAAATAAGATAAATAGTGGACTCGGGGCATCTGGTTGTGATACTCAAGTTAGCCTGCTTAGAAAAGATTGAGAGAGAACTTGAACTTGTTCTGTTTCCATTTGGGAAGGGCATAGAAGGCTCTCTTTGTCATTCCAAATTTCTCTTCAAATTCTGCTTCTGATAAGTAAGCCTAAAAGTAACCACAAAGTTGCAACCGAGTGAGAAATTGGATTAAACAGGAGCTTGATGTTAATTCAATTAACAGTGGAAGCCATCATGACTATAAACAATTCTAGTTGCATGCTAAATTGATTCATAGATAAAATTTCAATCAAATGCAGCTTTTAAAGGTAGAAATGGTAATGACAAAAGTTCCTCAAAAACAGTTGGCTGTAAATATGATTTACTATAGCCGTTTTTTTCTATTAACCCATCAGAAGAACCATTTTTTACCCCGAAAATTAAAATGTTAGAACTGTGGAAGTTATTAAGGCTATATTTGTAAAGAGGTGGACTTCGTTAATGGAACTTATTTGAAAATTTCACTTAATTTAATTGGATAGATTTTGAAATATATTATCTCAATTCAACTTGAAATTGTTTAGGAGTTCAATTCTTATCATTTTGGAAAGAATTTATGTCCATTTTGTAATTAAAATAAGTGTTAAATTGATGTACCTCTCTTTTGGTTACATCTATGCCTTTCACTGGAGTATGTGAATCCACTCTCAATTCTTGATATGAAAATGTCAATGCATTTACACCAGCCTCTACGCCATCAGCCCAACTTGAGTTTGCATTCTCTGAAGAGGGGCTTGGCTCAGCTGCTGGAGAACCTGCACAGAAATATTAATATTTAATATTCAATGGATTGATTGCTTTATCAATCACAAAAAGAAAGATAATTATTAGATGAGCAATTGATAAAAAGAATAGGCCAACCTGTCGTGTACAATGGTGGACAGGTTAGTACATGAAGAATTAGGCAATTATTAGTCACACTTTTTCTCGAAAGAGCTGGATGAACAATCCAAAATTTCCAATCTGCAACTATTCTAATGTATTACGGCCAACAGAGTGTTAATCTATAACCACTTTAAGCTAGGCCATAGCATGAATACCTTATTTTGGTTAGCAAACAACACACCCACAGGCATCTCATTAGTCCTTAATGAACTGTCTTAAACCTAAAAGTAAAGCATTGTTTGTAAACTATTACAAGGTGACAAATCATCTCTATTTAATTCCAATTTCAAAAGACGGCAATCAATTGATTAGCTCAATTTATCCATCCAAATTAGAAGTGTGGACAATGAAATCCTCTGCATAGTCCGAAACTCCCCTCAGCTTAGATATATTCTCCTTGTATATTTGCAGGATCAGGATGCTATTAAGGCATAAGTCAACTACTAAAGAGGCATATATGTACATACATAACATATACATATATTGTATATATGTATGTACACATATATAAGGAGAACAACAGTGCAAACAGTTCATAAGTGAGAATGATCTGTTACCAGTCCCACTTTCACAAGGAGAAGATGCTGGAAAGAGCTTCCTGGCAATTGGAGTTGAGCTGAATGAATTGCGGTCGCTTGATGACTTCAAATCTGAATTTGATATGATTGAGGCAGGAGATGCGCTTCTCTGCAACCTGTTTGAATTTACATTGCTTCTGGAACCATTTGGTGTATTCTCCCTGGAGTAAGCTTTCCATGAGTTCCTCACAGGTGCCTGGAAAAAAAGAAGATATCATTCATTGAACAGAGAAAAGATATGAAGGTTTTCTGGTCAAAACATGCCTATAGCAAAAACAAATCCAAAGCTTATTAAAAAGTGAAAATGTAAGAAAACTTTAGGTATTCAACCTCAAAGCAACAAATGCTAAAAGTAAAAACAAATCTTAAAAACAGTCACTTACTTCTACATTTGGTGCTTTTCCTTTTATGGTAGCAAGCTTTCGCTCAAATGAGTTACCATGCATCTAGAAGGCAGCAACTTTGTTAGAAAAGTATACAGGCTCTGCTGGGATAAATTAGTAACATCACAGGAATGGAGTAGACTACTTAATCAAGGACTCTGTTAAATTAGATGAACATCAAGTGCGTCAGGTGCTGGCACATCTAGATTTTAGTTTGAAAAAATTAACAAAGTTAAAGAATTAAAGAGCTTCTTCTGGGGAAAAAAATAAAAGAAAGCAAGTAAGAAATAAACATTATTAGACTCCTAAAGAAAAAAAGGTATTAAGAGCCTCATTTTCCCTTTCCAACTTCTTCCCTAGGCATCACAGAACCAAATGCTGGTATTTAAAATGTACATATCATATAGTAACATGGGAAAATTGGTCTTGCAAGAATTGTTACTCTTTGTTTTGCTGGGAAAGAAGGAATAGAAGGCAGTGACAAGCATGATCAACTCAACTTTGACTTAACAATACAAACTGCTACTGACAGGGGGCAGTTACAAGCATGACGAACACAACTGGGACTTGGCAATATAAGGTCCTACTAATTGGGGAACAATGCCAGAAGGGGCTGAGGGACCTTTCGTCCTACCCAATAAAGCAACCCATGTTACACAGCAGGCAGGCTCAACATCTCAGCACTGACATGTCACTCCCTTATCATGTAAAATTAGTCTTGAGAAAAGATCCACTTCAATTGGCAAAATCACCAGAAACTCAACATCCTAAAATATTATTGGAAGTTCCTTGAAACAAAAAGTATTGAAACTTTTCCAGAAGCTAATTAAATGGGAGCCTTTAGGATGGAAGAAAAAGATCACTTACATTTGCCTTTGATGGATCCCATGTGAAGAAACGGGTGAAAAATGGTGGTTCATGGCCCTCTGTGACAACATATACAGGCGCGTCCAGAGATAGCCCTTCAACCAAAATGTCTATCTCAAGGAATTTCTGCCAGTACCCAGTATCACGAAATGAGAGCAATGATAAAGGAGAAGAGGAGCAACAGTGTAAACTGTATGTGGTCATATGTGTATTACATCTCTAAATGTTTTTGTGTCCTTAACATATAATGATTCCTCATTTTTGGGAAACCGAAGTATCTTCTTTTCTTTCAATTAAATGGTCCAGTTATGTTTTAAAACCTTTATGAAACATTAGGCAAAAAAATTGCTAAAAAGTAAACATTCATGTTTAAATCCATTGAATAAGTGTAGATTTATTTAAATGAATCAGTTAATAATATATGTTGGTATACATAATAAGAAACAAAAATTTGAAAAATATCCCTAGAAAGAAGAATAAAATTTTAAGGAAGATTAAATGAATCTTTTACCAGACCAAGATGAAGGGCTTGTTCTTTTGATTTAACAGTTGAATTGTGTCCAATCCAAACATATATCTCGCTTTGGCAGTCCAGTACTAGCACATCTTCAGTAGTCAAATCATCCTGCATGAAGTTGTATATCTCTTTCACCTGATGAATAGAATATAAATGAGTAAAAAAACTGAATAGAAATACCTTCTGAGTGTAACTGTCGCTTGAAGTCAAAACATCAAAAAATAAATCCTTGGCTACAGTTTAACATTGAAGACATGCATGAAGAAGTTTTATTTCCACACAAAAGCTGAAACAAAATTTACTCAAGAAACTACTTAGATTAAGGAAATTATTATGTGCCAAAGTAGGTGTGTTTCAAAGGGAAAACAATTATCAAGTTTCATCCATGCCTATGGATAATTACATGAAATGTACCTTGAAATCACCTGAAGCCAAGCAGCAAAAGAACCATAGCCAGCATTAGACATGTAATGCAAGATTCATATTCAGGGTACATCTGCGTCAAGGCACTGCATTATCTCATGAGAAAGTAAATTCAAACAAGAAAGGATATTTCTCTCACTTGTAGTCCAGGAGCAGGTAAATAAATGAGGGTCTTCAATGCATTTCGTAATCTCTTTTTCTCTTGGATATTCCACCTTTCCACCAAGCATACTCCAGAAAATGTCGGGTTCACTTCCTTCTCTTACTGATATGGATTGCCAATCTGGCTGCAAATGGCATCAAGGGATAAATTTCTGTAATGGATCATGATTCAAAAGTGTAAACTGAAAAGCAAACCAGTAACACACTACATTCCCATCACATGAAGATTTAATGACATAATTTAAATACCAATTTAAAATTTGATATCATATTTTAGTAAAAGAACAGAATTACACATTAATTAATTCAAGCATTCTGTCTAGAAGATCATGGTCTGTTGTTGAAGAGAGATTCCCAATCCAAGTAAAGATAGAAGTTCCACTTTGCAAGATGTAACAGTAGGATGAATTCAGAGAGCTTGAAACCTGTAGTTCCACAATTTATCCATACCAGTTATTAAGGAGCATATGCCATAAAATATTGATAATTTGAAAAACTCATTGCCTAGAAGAATTTCTAATTACATATGCTGCATGCCTGCAAGAAAATTTGGGCAAGGGACAGAACAAAACTACCAAAGAACTCACAAGATCAACTTGAATAGCTTGCATGTTGTTTGGGCTTGTTCCCTGAATTCGAAAAAGAGCAGTCTTTTTTTCATCATAAGTTTCATCTTCAATACCTCTTTCTGCTATCAACCTCTTGTAACTTGAACTCATACCTCCCTAGAAGAAAAGTAGGACAAGAGTAATAAAAGATGACTTTTTCAGCTGAACAACTTGGATAATTACACATATTTTATGAAGAAGAAATTATGAAGTACAAACCTTAAAAACAACTAATGTTTGGAAAATCAAGAAAAATTGAACTGGTTCCTTATCCTCAATGACTTGGGCCTGAAAAGAGACACAAAAGCACTAATTTGAAAGGTTCAAGATGTTAGAATAAATAATAGAGATAGTCATTTCCAATCAGTTTAAGCTTTTATAGATAATTAGTCACAATCAATTGTTTAGATGGTACAAAAGGTAAAAGTCTAGAGTTAAAATTTTGGCCGCCAACCTACTATGTTCATTAATTTAATACATGTTAGTGTGATACTTGACTCACACTTCCAGGCCAGAAGGCTTGTGTACGACAGAGCATGTTGAATATAAAATAATATATTTGGTAATTTTGTATCAGCTGAACTTTTGAGACAATTGACAATAAATTCTTTCACATGAGACAAGTTGATAGTCTGTATATTGATATTATGAAGAGAACATTATCATAATTTGATAAAACTTAATAGGAAGTGTTATGGAGCTTCACTGGTGACGTAGAGAAATGTAATAGAATTAGCATGAGAGCATTAAGAGTAGCAAAAAAAATATCTGCTAGAAGGAAGATTCCACTAACATTTTCATTGTTTTTGTGTTCAAGCAATTCCATTTACTTCCTTACATGGCGAAAATATAATCCAAGTAAAATATGCTAAGATGAATGGTATTATCAGGAACAACACATTAGTAAGCAGAATATGCTAAGATGAATGTTACTATCCGAATACAACAAAGTATTTCCCACATGTAACATTAGAAGAATATGTTGAAAAAACTAACTCGCTGCCCAATATACTTCAAATATAGTAAAATACTAGTAGAATGTCTATAGCTCTATATATGGCTGGATGACCAGAAGCACTGTCGTATACCATATGAAATAATTGACTGGCAAATTATCTCAAAAATTTAAAGTTGATAAAAAGGAATTCAACATAATCATTTATATACTTCAACATGTCATATCAAGCAGAAACCATTGGTTTAAAATGTAGGCAGAGCACTATCCACCAACCTTATGCTAAATTTAACTGATTTTTCAAAAATAAACAAGGAAGCCAGAATACCATGTAAGTTTATGAGAAAAATTCTATATGCATAATTGAATTACTATAACAGTCATATATGAGTATAAAAGGCTAATGACGAGTCCAAGTATAACATTATACATGTTGAAACATTGTAAAATACTAATAGAATGTCTATAATAGTACTAGTACGACAGCTATAGAAATTTGGAAATTTTGGATGTAAATAGAACAGACCATTACTGGATCCCCTCTGGTTGAATCAACTAGGGCACTCATATGAGTGATGGCACTAACTCTTTCTTCCTGAAAGAAGATAAAAAAGAAAATAACATTGTTTAGAACTTTCAGAAATGACTACAGAAAGTTAAAATGTTGAATTAAATAGAGCAGAAGGACCACTAATTCCATTTCCAGAATTTAATTCTAAGGAACTCAAATGACTGCTAAAAATCAGAAAGGAAACTTTCTACATATGTAAATGATTTTTTATTTTCTGAAAGTTTTATGCAAGCCACAACTGAAGGAATATATAGTTATTCAAATTGGTCTTGCACTTAAATGAAAATTTTGCTTATGATACGCAAAGTAGATGTCTTTTCTATCTTGTTCTGCACTTGTTTTCTTGATCCACAACTAAGACAAGTGATTAAACTAAAGCAAAATTTCACTGATTCACTAACATGGGTCTCCCAATGGTTTGCAAATCAAATGCTTCTAGTAGTTCCCTATGGACATAGGTTGAAATGACGTGTAAATTATCAATGTTTGGAAGTTCACTGGAGTTTTATTTTTTTGAAAATATACCATCAGAAGATTTTATCCACTCAGTTTTTCTTTGCTGAAGTGGTTAATGAAATCTACATGTCCTCAATGTTTGACAGAGGACCCTGTCAAACTAACACTGAATTAGCGAAAAACGAAAATTTTTTGTGTTGTTTGAAGAATTTTTCCTCTTACAGATGGCACACACTAAAGCTGATAAGGAAATATGACCATTGAGCTAAGAGCTCATGGCCAACAAAATTTTCAGGATATAAAAAAATGAATATAGCCATTTGTTTCTGCACCATGCTTACCATCGCACTCCCCCGACCAAACCATGAATAGAACAGATTCTCATCCCTCCCATTTTCAGGATATGTATATTGCACAATATAGCAATCCCCACTGTAAAGCTTTCTCTGTTTAGTAACTGGAATAAGAGACAATTCGTCGCCATTTACATGCCAAACCTGAAAGATCACTGTTGCATCAACATCATTCAATACAGCCATTGATAGGTAATCATTTTCTTTGGTTAGAAGCTACTTTCAGTGTGCCTCTGCAATTTATATAGAGTTGGCAATCTTCCTCAGGAAGCTCCTTCACATCATAACCTTGTTGCTTGAAAATTGCTGACCGGAAAAGTGAAGGAAAATAATCAAAGCTTTAGTGTGGATACTATAACTACTGAGATTTCTGAAGACATAGATATTTGTTTCAAGAGGTGAAAAACCTGCCACTTTTTCTCGACCTTCATCATAGAGCCTAGTTTCCACAATCTGAGGCCAGCCATCAAAGAAAGACCTAAATACGGCACTTTCTAGACCTTCAGTTAGAAAAGTCAAATGAGTTCCATTTGATCTTCCTTGATCCCTTAGGAAATCCTGTAAAGAGGTTGCAAGCCAGTAATCAAATCAGGAGAATGCCGTTAGTATAAACAAGCACAATTTGAACTACAAATCAAATCTCCATCTTGTTAAAGGGCATAATTACTGCCCCAGCTCGAATGACGTGCTTCAAAGTGATCTTTCTTTCATCGAATACTTAACTTCCTACACTGAAAGCTATATCCATCTATTCATGGAAATTTTAGTCATTATCAAAATTATAACTTTTCTCCTAGAATTTGCTTCTCATGAGTAGAGAAGAAGCTGCTGTGTGTGCTAGTGCATATGAATGGACTATTGAGAGAAGCAAACAATGCAATACTTCTGATGCTGAAATCGATGTCTTCCTCTCACTAACTGATGTGTTTCTTCCAACCCAAATAAAAACTTCAGCATCACAGTCCAACATATAGCATTTGTCTTTTTCAAGCATCTCTTTGTTCAATGAGTTAGTTCCTACTGGACAGAGTTTCCCCTGAGTATTAATCCTGTTAACAAAAGATCCTTTAGAGCACTTCTCCAGATTTAAAGAAGGAAAACATGCTGGACAAGGAATCGTTTCTAATCGTGAACACAAGAAATTGACTGAATCAATAATCAACATAGAAACGCCAACAAATGAAGCAGCTATTAGAAAATATATATGCATGTACGTACAATGAGTATACAACCATAACCTTACTCCTGTTTTTCACAAGTACCCAGGTGGTATTGACTTTTAACATGAAGGCTTCTCAATATTTAGGAATAGGATTTGAAACTAATATGGATTACACTAATGAATGTAAAGGGAAATCTCACCAGAACAATTTTACAGATGATGTGTCAGGATGTTGCTCAAAAGCTGAAGGTGAGTCTCGAGGAATGGGAGCATAACCACCAAATAAGCTCCAGAATTCACCAACATCAGAATCACCAACAAATTTCCCATCCTCTGCAACAACAAAGCATTTAAGCACAGCAGTCTTTTACTCAAGAAAAATGTGGAAGGAAAAAAAGAAGGTCCTCACCTATAGTGGCCACCTCACACTTCCCACTATGCTTATTGTCCTTGATATATTTAACAACCTCCAAAGCTTTAGCTCTTTCCTGAACACTAGAGTTGCAGCCGCTGAAGAGAAAAATTTTTGATGCTGTGTCGAGAATGAACACATCATTGTGATTCAAAGATGATCTGGAAAAGGGTACCTGTTCAGCATGTAAACCAGACAGACGAGAGGCAACCTTCAGCCAATAATAGAATAGGAACTATAATGCAAAAGGTATTTAAATGATTCCCTGAAGAAATGAAGACCGAAAAAAAAGGTACAGCAATCAAGGGCAACCATACAATACGAATAATCATCCTGCTGGAGGATATCAATTTCTCTCTGTTAAGCCATTACATGCATCATAAATATAAATGATGAAAATAAGTATTTTTATACACAAACCTATGATCACTGTAGTTCGCCAAAAATTAATAAGGATGATACCTTATACAAAATGATTTTAATTATTTTATATATCTATTTCCTCAAAAAAAAATTATTTGACATATCTGTATAAGGCTGTATATACATCAACATTAGCAGAAAAATGATGGGTCATTTGTCTCGTCATTTATTATTTTCTGTTGCCTTTTTTCTTTTTCACTTGAAAACGTGCTCAGAGACTAACTCAATTAAATGTACATCAAGTTATCGACAAAGCTTAAATCTAGCTTACCTCTTTAACACGAACAACATGATCTCCCTTGCACGTTAATAAGCTGGCTGGGTATGTTTCACAATTAGTTACTGGTTGTGAAGAATACTTTCCTTCCATGGGTATTATACAAGGTTTGAAGTATGATAAGAATTTCTGTGTTTCTTGACCTTGAACTTCCCGATATTGCACTGTACAGGAACCCAGTACTGCATCTAACTCTAGTGCTTTATCTGATGCTATGGTTGAGTCCACCTGTAAATACAGTGTTGGAGCATCAAATGCTGACATTTAGCTTCAAATATTAGATATACATCCCATTTCTATACAAAGTGGCTCTCCAAATTGATTCTATGTGAGCTAAAACCCGACCAGAGGCTGTGCCACGCGTACCTTCTCATTAACCCCACCCCATAGTCCATTTGTCCTTCCCATTTAAGAGTGTGTATATGTTTGCATTATTATATTACATAAGTAGAAAAATGTAATTAATAATTCAAATATTTGAGTGTCCATTATGCCAAATTGTTGAGTGCAATAAAATCAAGTGGACAAGAACTGGAAATAAGGAATAAACACAAACAGTTTGATGAATATGATTTACTGATATGTGAAATCTGGAGATTACAAATATTTTCTTTCACATTTAACTCATGCCCGATATATAATCAATTTCTTAAAATTATTAAATATGATAAAACCATGTACTTACATGATCAGGGTTGCTGTAAAGAAAACGATACACAACTAGGGAATAATACCTCTAGACATAACCCAATAGAAAAAGATTTTTACTTAAATAACTTTCATTCATATACTTGTTATTCATGTGCCTTAAAAAGGAAAATTTGTGGCACCATACCAAAAGAACGAAAGAATAGAATATATCATCCTCAGTTCTGGGCCTACATTTATTAAGGACAATCAGTTTGTAGGTTCAGTTTCTGATGAAGTTGGTGAATTAGCCCATTTTGGGGGTTCTTGATCATTTAAACAAGGAATATCTGGTAATTTCCTCAAATTCTGGCTAGTTACAGAAACTTGGTATATTTGCATTTGCAGCATAACTAGAGACAGTTTCTCCTTTGTTAAGTTCTTCGAAAGCAATTCAAGAATTAGATCTTACTGACAACTTGTTTGGAGAACTCCTAGAGTTCTTGGGAAGCTTTAAAAGTGTTGGAAAGTTTGAATGCGTCCTCCAACAATTTTGAAGGTGAAGTATCTACCCAAGAGTGTTCAAAAATACAAGTGCTATTTCACCAACTGGAAATGATAAGCTCTATGGTTCTGAATTATACCTCCCACTTGTCACATAAAAGAGTCAAAGCAAAAAGGGACTTCATCTAAGAAACTGTGGTACTTGTTGTGCCTCAATTTATTTACCAATTCTGATTTTCTGGTTGATAATTATTTATTTCTTCTGAAAAATGAAAAAGCTGCCTGTTACCCCACTAGTTATATTGAGTACAACTTAACAAGTTTCTTATGAAAATCTAGTGAAAGCAACTGGTTGCTTCCTTCTGATAATATAATCAGCAAGGGTAGGTTCAGCTCTGTGTATAAAAGAACCCTTGATCACAAGGGAACAGCTGTAGCAATGAAGCCATTTGATCTCCAATATCATATAGCTACAAGGAGTTTCATGGCTGATTGTGAAGCATTGAGAAATATTAGGAATCAGAATCTTATTAAGATCATAACCACTTGTGCGACCATTGACTTTCAAGTGAATGATTTCAGGCTCTAATTTATAAGTTCATGGTCAATGGTAATTTCAAGAAAATAATTTGGTTCCCTTACATGTCTTGCCTAAAGCAGCATAGTCCATTGTTCTTGTGATCAAATAAAGTTTGTGGAATTAGAAGAGATTCTCGAGCAAATCTTACTAACAGAACACTATCTACATTTCATCATCAAGAATATTACTCAACTTAAGATCACAATGAATGACTGGTGATTCCAATGAAGATTAAGGTAGTCAGGAGCAGATGCAACATATTAGCAATGTTCAGTCTCTTCAGACGGTTCAGATTCTGTGGTGCTTCATGGGCACTGTTTGGATGCAGCCTCTCATCCAATCTCTCATCAACCATTAACTCATAAACCAAAGCCCTTAAATCATTCCTTTTAAAGTTATTAAAGAATGTATTTTTTATGTATAAATAGGGCTAAACTAATTCAAGGGTTAAATAAAATATACAATTTGTAATTAATTCAGTTTTTCTTTTTTTGTCCCTAAAACTTATATATATAAGAACGTATTATTCAATGAGAATACAACATAACTACTCTTGTTATGGCACTAAACCCTTTAGAAATCCTAAACTCTATTACAAAATCCTATTTGACCTTCATTGTCTCTAAAAAGAAAAAAAGAAAACACTAAGGAGGACTAGTCTTCATAGCAGGCCACTATACCAGTCACCACCGGCCTTTATAGCCAGAAAGAAGTCAAGCCGCCACCACCATTAACCATTCACCAGCAGAGGTGCTGCCACCAGTAGTCGCGCAGACCCTCCAGCCACATCTGCCACCCAGGTGCTTCCACGCCCACAGCCGCGTCCCTGTCACACAGCCACCTCTGTCCAGCTGCGGTTTGATTATAGCTGCCACAGCCCACACCACAGCTGCTGTCCAACTGGTAAAACCCTTATTTTTTGGTTTATTATTTGGTCTTAATTGCCTAAAATCTAAATTATGTCAGAGGCTACATCTCAAATCACTGACACAAATTCTCATGGGAAATTCTGCACAAACTAAAGAGAATCCCAGCAGATCCATACTGCTTATCATTTCAATGGAAAAAAAAAAACTTAAATTGGTCACAATTTATTCGGACCATTCTAATAGGAAAAGAAAAAATCAGTCACATTTTGGGCACCGGACCAAAACCGGGAGACTCAAATTTTGATGCATGGGATAAAGAGGATTAAATGACAGTGGTTTGGCTATGAAACTCAATGACGCTAGAAACAAGCAATACTGTTATATTCTTACCCAATGAGAAAGAAGTATGTGATTCAATCTGTTGGTATGGTGCCGATTCATTAGTCTACTTGGCAATTGCCTAAAGAATTCGGCAAGTGTTGTTCACTCTGTTGTTTGCACATTGTAAGTGCTCTCCCATAAACTGGAAAATCAAAATTTAACACTATCTATTCGAAGGATAGAGTGAAAAGTTTGCATAATACCTCATTTGCTTCATTTCCCAGCCAATAGTGAATATCATGCTGAGGAACACTGCTTTTTAGGAAAGTCGTCTGCATGAGAAAGCAAACAAATAGAAAACTGTTAAGTTTTCATGGATTCCCATGAGATACTGCTAAGAAGCAAGACACTTTTAAAGCCTGATTTTGGAATTTCTTCATGGATATAAGGAAAATAAAATGGGTTTAACATTCCAACTTTCAACATCTTACACTCAGAATGATGTATACACTTCCCGAATAAAATTTGCTGTGTAATGGCTTAGGGACAGATACCAACTGGAGATTCTCAACGCACCACATTTCTAAACCACTGATATAGTTATTAAGGAGAAAGCAAAACGTTAGTAAGGAAATATAAGGTTTGTCCACAACCATAGTCCATCTTGAGACTTTTACACTAATGATGTCTGTCAACTATTCAGGATGAAAAGTTATAAAAGGTTTGCCCCTTCAAACACTTAAAGGGAGGTCACCTATAAGCTATAGGTCCTAGTACGAAGTCAAATGATAATGGCCTAATTGCTAATCAGTTTGGCTTCTGATATTTAATACTAGAGACTAACAACAACCAACTATATATTAATTTCTTAAAAAAGAATTGGCCATTGCAAATTAGGAAACATTATTGCTTTCACAATTTCCATGGAAAGCAACTACATTGAAAGTTCAATGACCAAGCATCCCTTCCCTATGGTTAAGGAAATTGTTCCATTCGGTTCAGCGGTTGACAAAAAATAAAACAAAATTCAGTCAGGTTCATAATTAGTAACAAACACTTTCGCTATACTACATCATATCAATCTTGAATGTAAAAGCTAAAAGCTATCAGATAAGGATACGCCTTAGCTCCAGCACCCTGAAATGCTGGATCAACATCTTTAATAAGGAAAGACATTGTCTCTTTTACTTTGATACCCAACCAATCACTTCTGCCTTCCTACATATATGATCTGCAGATCAAGCATGAATGTCATTGGCTACAAAGCTGTTGCCATAAGATAAACCGATGTAATATCTTTAGGGCCAGAAATATAATTAACACAAACTAGAAATTGAAACATTGAGTCAAAGAAAAACTAACAACATATTTATTTAAAAAACATACAGGAAAAAATAACACTAAAAATGATAGAAACCATGAATGTTCATTAGCAGAATAGTGAATACACACGCATGCTAAAAGAAATTGAGCTTTTTAGAAATGGTTAGTGCCTCTATTTTGAATAATAGCAAACCTCTAAGAAGCATATTAAACCATAGCGTAAATAGCTATTGCCTCTACTCTACACACACTCATGGACTTGATCATGAGCAAAAATATTATATTACATTACATTATATTTGTATTAAAAACAAGTACTTCAAGTGATATTAAGTATGCTAGGGTTAAATTTAAGAGTTACCTAAACATTTCTAATTTCTAATTTATTTTTAATACTGAAATCAATTTTCAGTAACAATAACCTAATCGTGCAAATTTTATGTTTGTACTTTTACTCTTGATTTACTTGACTATTTCAAGAATTCGAGTTCAACAGGCTCTGATTTCAATAATAACAGACGTCCTAAGAACATATCGACCAACTTTTTTCAGGAAATACCTATTGCTTGATGGCCACGAATTTGGAAAATAACATCACAGCTCAAAAATTTGTTAAACCATATCTCTTTGAAAATGGAAACAACCTATAAACATCTTAGAAATAAACCTGAGAAAAAATATTAAACGATAACAAATCGCTCATAAACAGACTACAAAGTTGCTGAAACTGATATCTGCGTATATATATACACAAATATATGCGTATACATGTGTAACAAAAAGAAATCAATAAATATGCGGAAAAGAAAGTTGATTAGCAAAGCATACCTTTACTTGATTCTGGATGATTCAACAAAAGCCTAAAAACTGATGTGCACCAAATTTTCAAATGAGAGAGACTACTTAACGAGGAGAGGAACAAAATAACAGCATATTCCAACTTGGCTTGCAATAAACAGAAGAAACAATGATAATCTCTTTTCTCTTTTTCCCTTTAACCTGGTTAAATAAATTATGACGGTGAAAAATGGAGAAGAAGAAAACCGAAAGTGAGAGAGCGAAGTGCGTGTAGAAAATTGAAAATGACATGGAGCCTGTGCGTTGGCTTTATCACGTCCAGCTAACTGTGGGGCCCGCAGAGTGCAGTTTTTTTGTTTATATTTTGATTTTTGGAGTCAAAAGAAAGGAAGACGGTGAGTGGGGTTGGCGCCCTTTTCTATTTCAACTTTTATTTTGGCAAAAACGACGTTTATGAGGTGCGTTTTGATGGTCGAGGGGGTCCTTCGCCTGCGCTAGCAATGTTTGATTGCTCAATCATGGCGGTCGTAACTCCTTAACAACTAGAGAAAGGAAAAAAACACTTTTTTTAAAAAAGTTAGATTTAACTTGATTCCGTTAGTAAATTTATTTGGGTAAATTTTAAAAATATTTTAATATCTTATAATTAAATCTTTAAACTCAAATCAAATTAAGATTAAACAAATTCTATAGAGCAAAACTTGTCAATTATTTGTTAGAAACGTATCCGCATTTAAACAGTAATCATCGTGTAACTCATCTTATTATTAATTAGTTAAATGATAGGTTATAAAATTAATATTTAAAATTTAAAATTTATTATAATGTAATTTTTAATATTTTTTGTTATAATTTGATAATTGATATTTTTTTGTTTATTTTGAATGTTTAGTTTCATTTTATTTTTTATTATATAAATTTAAAATAATTAAGTTATATTTAAAAATAATTTAAAAAATAAATTTATTAATTAATTAAATTAGCAAATCATGCAGCTTATGCAAAACTATTTACACACAAAATTCTTTGTATAATTAATCTAACATTTATGTTAACCTATCGGTAATTTCAAGTCAACACTCATTGTTGAAAAATATTTATATAAAATGCATATGATAAATATTTTAAATCATATATAATTATATAGGAAATTTATTTTTCTCATTTTTTTATTTCTTAAAATTGCCTAAAATCACACTATGCATTTTTTTTTTTAATATATGAGATTAAAAATGTTAACTTATAAAAATTATACATATGGTGTATGTATTTTTCTGTTAAAATGCCGTTTTAATTAAAATATAATTAAATTAATTATAAAAGTCTATCATTAGTTTAATTTTCATAACGGGATTAATTAAAATTTCTTAAATAACCTTAATGAATTTAGAGGTTTTGAATAACTTTTATATTCTATATCTACAGGTTTGGGTTTGGATTGTCTCATCCTCAGCACTGAATTCATGGTCTAACCTAGCCCAAGATATTAACAATTCAATTATATATGCATCCCAACAATATTAACCAATTTAATGTTATTTTAATTTTATAATATGATCACATAATTAAATTTATAAATAATATAAATAAAATTAAATGAAGCATATTTTATAATATAAGTTGAAAGATAAAGAGAGCAAAACTAGATGATATTCCACGACAATTATGTTATTCGTTTTTAATGATAATAATATAATAAAATATGTTAACCGAACCAAATTGAAAAAGAAGAAAAAATTTATTTTATTTCCAAATTAAGTATAAGAAAAAACTTCAATCTGGGTTGTGGCTACCCGGGAATTCCGTGGTTTACTTGACCCGGTTCATCACGCTGCAATTCCCTGTACCCGGTGCTCGGCGGTGACGATTCCTTTGGGGTTCCAGAGCAGACTCAAAGAGGAAAGAGAGAAAGAGGGAGAGTCATTCGAAAATTGAGAGATGAATCCATTAACGTTAGTGAAGAGAATACAGAGCATAAATTCGAAGGAAGCAGACTTAGGGATTTCCGAGGAGGCATCGTGGCACGCCAAGTACAAAGAATCTGCCTACATCTTTGTCGGTGGCATTCCCTTTGACCTCACCGAAGGCGATATCCTCGCAGTGTTTGCCCAGTAAGTCGTCTGGTTTGCGGTTTGCAATTTAATTTCAGTGATTAGTTGAGCTTCCTTTGTTATGAAAAGGAAATGTTGCTATATTATTAATGTTTTGATTATTTGTGCTGTATCTTTTGTTTCCGTTTCTGATAATCTTTTTTTCACAAGATAATGAGTTTTGTTTTTTCTTTCATCTTTGTGGACAAAGATATGGGGAGATTGTTGACGTTAACCTTGTTAGAGATCGGGGTACTGGTAAATCCAGAGGTTTTGCATTTCTTGCTTACGAGGATCAAAGGAGTACGATTCTTGCTGTAGGTTGGTTCTCTCTCTCTCTCTCTCATGTATTATCTCTATTAACAGCTAAGAAGATAGTAGCAGTTGATTTCAGTTAGCTTAGCTATTACTGCTTTTTTTTTTTTGGGTGTTATGGCCTTTCTTGCAGATAACTTGAATGGAGCGCAGGTTTTGGGTAGAACTATACGTGTAGATCATTGTAGTAACTACAAAAAGAAAGAGGAGGAAGATGAGGAGACCTGGCAGCAGAAGAGGGAGGCCCGGGGTGTTTGCCGTGCTTTCCAGAGAGGCGAATGTACCCGTGGAGATGGATGCAAGTTTTCCCACGATGAGCAAGTAAGATTAACGATAGAGATCTAGAATATTTCCACAATGATGAAGTATGGTGGTAGTTTAACAACATCTCTCATTGGATGACTTCTTCTCAAATTATGCATGTTGAAATATCATAAGAAACATGAGACATCCGGGACTGTTACTGTCTAGATTTTCTCTTTCGGTTGCTTGGGTAATTGTCTATATGCACTATATTCTTATCTAATAATAAGATTATGGTGATGTGAGATGGTTTCAGTAAGTAGTTTAGCTTCCGTTGTTATGCATAGACTTAAGTTCTGTTTCCAATTTCAATGTGTGCATGTGTGGTAGTTTATTTGATGCATAAATATTCTTTTTCCTTTTTCTGTTCTTCCATCAAAATTGTTGAGGTGCTTATTTATGCTTTTTTTTTCTTTCAAATACAGAGAGCTGCCAACACGGGTTGGGGTCATGAGGATAAGAGTTCAAAATGGGGACATGATAAGTTTGACGGTTCAAAAAGGAAGGAGAGAAGATTCAGTGATCAAGAAGGTTTGGGATTGGGGGATAAGAGTCCAAGTTCCAGAGAAAAGGGCAATAGCAGGTCGCTGGAGAGCCATTCCAGGGAAAGTAAGGAGAGGAATGACAAGAGATTGCGAAGACATGATGATGATGAAATCAAGCTCAAGTCAAGGGATGATCATGATAAGAAGCAAGAAAACAGATTGAGAAAACGATATGAAGATGATGAATTTGAGCGTAAGGCTAGAGATAATCGTGACAGGAGGGAAGAAAAGAGACCAAAACAGTATGATGGTAGTTCACCAAAGTCAAAAGATGATCCACTTAGGAGGGAAGAAAACAGATCAAGGGAGAATGATGGCTATGATTCTAGGAGGGAAGAAAGGAAATTTAGAAGGTACGATGATGGTGAATATGAGCCAAGATCAAGGGAAGATTATCATATGAGGGAAGAAAAGAAATCAAGAAGACATGGTGATGATGAAGTTGAACCAAGGTCTAGAGGAGAACGCGATGGCAAGGAACAAAAGGGATCAAGGAGGCGTGAATCAGGGTCCTCATTGAGACGAGACCAGGACCAATTATCCAGTGACAAATGGTCTAACCCTGAAAAGGATTTGTCCTCCCACTATCGTGGTGAGAGAGATCGTTACCAGCGTATGTCAGATAGATAACAACGTTGTACATCTTAATGGAACTTTGAGCTTACATGTTTCCTAAGGTAGTTGTCCTTATTGTATTTATCTGATAGTTGTAATCCCTTTATCTTTGCCTAGGTTTTGTGCTACTCCTAGAATTGTGCTTTTGCTTATACGAAGGCAACTTGAGAAATAGTATTGGTAACCCTTGTCTCCTTTTGCATTTGATATTGACATGGAAGAATACATGAAACGGTTCACTATTGGAGTAAAAGAAAGTTGATCTCACGTGTATTATTTTCATTGCCCACATGCTGACTTTATTCTGACTCAATATGCTACGACCACTGGTCGTTTTTAAATGTTGAATTGATTCATGCACTGATGGCATAATTCCTCATAAGAAGGTTTTTATGGATAAAAGAATGTATGCTTGATACGGATCCTTAAATCCGGATCACAGAGTAGATTTCCCCCTAAGTACAAAGAGACACTCCAAAACTTCACTATTCTTACTGTAATTTTTGTTATAAGTCAGTATTTAGAACTCTGAAAACAAGTTTGCATCTGGACAATGGATTCCTATCCGAAATGTCTAGTTTCCATTGAGTTACTTCTGCATTTATAGAGTTTCATAACCTGGATTTGCCCTGATGTTGAAAGTTTATAAGTTTGAATAGCAGGGTTATAGATATAAGGAAACTGTAGCAGGACCATGAAATCCTTTAGAAAGATTTCCAAGTAGAATGAAGGAAAAAAACATATGCATATTTACATAATTGCTCAAGTATTCTAGTGGATCGGGAGTAACAGAAACAAGGGGATGGACTGATGTTCTTGGAAGGGAAATCAGCAAGAGATAAAGCAGTTGATCGATGAAGTGACTTCGGACATGTTTTAATCATCAGCATTGATTGGTTTTCTGAATTCCTTCAAAATTGTTTCTTCGGAAGACATCACTGGCAAAGGATTCAGGCCAGGTACAAGCAGCGGACCTTCCTCACTGGTAAACGATGTCTCTTCATCCTCCACAATTCTTGGGTTTTCATTTGCTAAACTTCCGAGTTCTTTCTCACTAATGGATTCATCATCTGCAGATCTAACAAAATCTTGCAGGGTGACCCCCTCCTCGGTGTCTGATAACATGGCATCCAGATAAACATGGTCTGTGAGTTCCCCATTTAGACGAGCTGGTCCCGATAACAGGTCAAGTCCCTTGTCTGCATTCTCATCAATCATTTGGTCCTCTATAATTTTCTGGAACTCTGCATTTGCCCAATCCTCTGCAATGATTATAGTATCCTTTGTCTCCCATGCTCGAAAAATTCGGTCTGGACCAGGCTGCCAGATTATATTTCCTGTGCTTGTTTTGAGCACAAACTTGAATTGAATTGACAAGCCAACAGGTAGGTCCTGCACACAATTTAATTTTTATTTAAATAATCAGAACAAAAGTTCTATGCGTCATCATAAAATTCTAGGAGGCTGAATGGGACAAGGCAAAATCTTACTGAAATACTGATGACACAAAAACCGTGACGAAAAAATTGAATTAGATTAATCTTTAATTAAATCTGGATCGAGCTAAGTTTAGGGTAAGAAACAAAAATGATGTCAAAACTTGACCTGGATATATATATATATAATATCTATTTCCAGTTTTGATTAAAAATATATATAATGTACGTGTATAATATATTTTCAATTTTAATTTAAAAATATATGATGTATATTGTTTAACTTAATGTATATATAAATAATATATATGGCTGTCAACTCCAGTTATAACGTGGATTAAGAATTGAATAACTTAATTATTGAAATTTAAAATTCTCTTTAAAAATATTCTATATACCCTACTCAGTTGCCAAAAATAGCCATAAGAGTTTTATAGGTTTGAAGAAATTTTCCTTACCATTTCAACAGTCCATTTGTGTCCATCTGACCAGGTTAGCGGTACGCCATTTGAAGGATTCCATGAGCCAAGAGCAGGGTCATCGCCCACCAGCAGGAATTCTTCACCATATATACATTCCTTCTTCAACTGGAATTTCACATGCATTTTCTTTGTTATATCTGAAAATTTGAACCAAGTCAAAAACCATTTTTCACTTTGCAAGTTTGTTTCATTCAAAAAATTAATGTAGAAGACAGTAGAACCCACTTATACCCTGAAAATCAGTTTCCCCTTCTGCATTCTCTGATCCTGTTAACACCTGTCAGCCATTGAAATACACAATGGAAAAGTAAACCCACTGCATTTCATCAAAAGCACATATCAAGAGCTTGAAATAAAACGAAACGGTACCTCTGGATCAAATGCCATATGAGATGAGGAGGTAACCAACCGGGTTGATCTGTTTTTAAGCGAGAGTGAGTGGGAACACAGAGGACTGAAACTTAGAGACCGTGAGAGGGAAATACCAGATGGACCCATAAAAGATTTCGAGGAGTTAATGGTTGTGTTTGTCTGGTTCTTCACGAACGTCTTTGTTGCAGAGAAGGTCGTTAGGGTCTCCATGGCTGTGTGTTTGGGAGGAGACGAATCAGTGCATGCGTGTTTGAAGGAGCAAAGAACTGTGGGTCGCTTCGTTTTATAATTACGAGAGAGAGAGAGAGAGAGAGAGAGAGAGAGAGAGAGAGAGGTGCACGGATCTAACTTTCAGGTCACGCGATTTTGGCGCGTGTCGTAATCGCGCTGAGTTTGTCAATTTTTTACTTTCTGTGGTTGGGGGTTGTTAGGAAGTGAGATCTGAGACAGCTTTTTGTGAGCCCTTTTTCGCGCGGGATTTTTGTTCTTTGATTGGCGAATTAAGTTGTTAGGAAATGTTTGACTAGTTTTTAATTTTCAATTTATCAAGTATACAGAGCTCAAGCTTTATATACTTTCCAAGTATATAGTTATAATTTTCAACCTTCCATTGGTTTCTCCCGGCTAGAATACTTTCCTCGTATGGCTGGGGTTATAGCCTCACTTGAGCCTATTTATTCTCAGTTTGATTATATATAGTTTTATGAAACTTATAAATTTTAGTAAATATTTAGAAAATGAGTGTTTGTAAGTTAAAAAATTAATTAAAATTTTTACAAAGTACATTAAAAAATTTATAATTTTGGGTCAAATAATCATCTTAATCTTCCTTGTTCACCAATAGTCCATGCATGAACAACAGCCTCCCTTAAAATGATGGAACCGATACCAATCTCTCAGTAGTATCTCTCTATTGTAAAGCTTAGAAATGAGCTTAGCAACTGAGTGGCAATCCCCACACACACGAAGATTCTTTATAATCCTGATTGGTTGACAAGGGTCAGTCAGTAGCTATAAGCCCAAATGAAATTGCCAACTTCTCGCTATGAAGGTTCAGAGCCTGCTCTTTCATGCCTTCTTCTTCAACCAGTTGCAGAAGCTGGGACTTATTCGCTACATAACCGGCTGACTTCAATCTTCCTATAATCTCGTCAAGTTTTGAGTAGATTTCCTTGGAAAGAGGATGAGAGTTATCTCCCACTAGAAACTCATGAATCACACCATTCACCTCTATTGAGCTACAGCCTGGTTCTTTTCTGATTCCAGTTAGTCTCATTAGCTTCCTTAATTGACAAACACTGTCCCATTTCCCCATCTTGGCATATATATTAGATAAGAGCACATAGGCTCCGTGATTTCCAGGTTCCAACTTAAGCAATCGGCTACAAGCCTGTTCAGCAAGCTCAAGATTTCCGTGAATTCTGCAGGATCCAAGCAAAGCACCCCATATAGAAGCATTAGGAGATACAGGCATTTTATCTATGAATTTCACAGCTTCTTCGAGATATCCTGCTCGCCCAAGAATGTCAATCATGCAAGCATAGTGCCTGGCTTCAGGAGCAACACCGTAAACGGACTCCATTTGATTGAAAAATTCTCTGCCCTCACCCACTAATCCAGTGTGGCTACAGGCACAGAGAACATTGGTAAAGGTCACGCTGTTGGGCTTGACTTTGGCTTCTTGCATCTGGAGAAACATACCTATTGCAGCTTTCCCATGGCCATGCATTGCTAAACCAGCAACCATGGCACTCCATACAAACACGTCTCTCCTCTGTACAGAATTAAATACCTCAAGTGCCTTCTCAAGATCTCCGCACTTAGAATACATGTCGATAAGTGAGGTTGTGAGATGACAATTTAACGCTATCTCCTGCTTCTTTATGTACACATGAATCCACCTCCCAAGATCTATTGCCCCTACTTGAGCACAAGCTGACAGAGTGCTTACTAGAGTGACCTGATCAGGTTTTGTTTTCTTGTTCAGTTGCAACTCACGAAAAACAGCTAATGCTTCCTTTGGCTTTCCATTTTGTTCATAAGCAGATATAAGAGCATTCCACGCAGCAATGTCCTGCCAAGGCATAGCATCAAAAATGTGCCTGGCTGCTTCGTACTTCCCTAGTTTAGCATAGCCATCAAGCATTGTAGTCCACGTGACAATATCTTTCTCCTCCATCTTTTCAAACAAAGCTTTTGCATCTTCCATGCTCCCACACTTCACATACATGTCAAGCATCGGATTCTTCAATGTCAAATTCACACTTATTCCATTTTCTTCAATATACGAACACACCCACCTCCCAAACTCCAAATCCAACTTCTTTGCACAAGATGACAAAACACCCACCATTGTAACATCATTTGGCTTCACATCACTCTCCTGCATTATTCGAAACAAATCTAAGGCCTTCTCGGGACAACCCTTTTGAGCAAAACCCGTGATCATCGAATTCCAAGAAACAACATCCTTTTCTTCAATCATCACAAAAACCTTATATGCCAAATCCAAATCCCCACATGACGAATAACCATGTATCAATGAATTCAAAATGAAAACATCCAAACCAAGTGATTTCTTAATGGCCATTCCATGAAAAGCTTGTCCCATCCGTAGCCTATGACCCTCTGCAGCTGCCTTGATCACGAATGGAAAAGTGAACTTATTTGGGCAGTAAGAGGCTTCACAAATCATCTGCAGAAACACCCGAATGCGCGAATAAGAGTGTTCCAGGAGTAGAGATTTGGCTCAGGAATTTGATCGAACACTTTGCGAGCATAGTCCAGGCTCGAGAAAGACGAAAAAGCAGAGGCTGTGAAGAGTTTGCTAGCTATGTATGGATTGAAAAATAGCTCTGTACGGAGCATCCTGGCATGGATTTGCTTCAGTTGTTCGGCACTGTTGCATTGGTCGATTTGAGAGAGAATTGGGTGGTTTAGGAGGGAAGGGTCGTTATTGACAGTTAGGGAAGTACAGTTTGGGTTTGGGAGGATGGGTTGAAGTGGAAAAGAAAGAAGTGAGTTGCTTAGAGTTGTCATCACTTCTTGGTGCTGGGTCACTCTTTCAGGCTTAACTAATATGAGCGTGTATATGAGTTGCTTAGAGTTGTCATTGTTTGCCAATACAGTTTTACATACGACATTTAAGATTTTCACTAGCTATTACTGACTCTCAATTACTGTGACTGAATTTCTCTTAAAATTCAATTTCATTCTGCTCGTTTTCCATGTTCAGCTCTCGCGGAACCTCATCTAATCAAAGTCAAAATCAAAATATTCATAGAACTCTCACAATTTTTGACTTAAGCTTGATCTGCCTGATCAGCTTCTTACCCAAAATCAATGTCATTACACACACACATGTACACACACACACACATTTACAAACTCAGTATGTATATATATATATATATATATATATACACACGCAAGATACATGATAAAAGTCATATCTTTAGTCAATCTGGGATTTGGAATTTATGATCGTGGTCACTGCTTTAATGGACAAGTTCGGTTCATATATACGTACATATATTTATTAGTGCATATATGGCTGGCATTCTATTTGATTTTTTTAATAAAGATACAGGGCATTCAAAAAACCTGAGATACATAGCCATGTATAAAACGAGAGTAAGACTGCGTGTGAACGTGCCTATCAGTTAATGCATAATTTCCAAGCTCAAATTGACAAAGTTGAATGGAGCAGAACATCATGTCAAGCTCAACATGTCCTTCGGAGTCTTGACACTTCTGTGTAAAAGCATAACTGTATCTATCAGAGTAAGGCGCTGCATACGAAGGCATGATCCATGCTTCTGCAAATGATGGACCATGTTCTTGTTCTTACTTTATACCTGTATATATATATATATATGTATATGTATAAAATCCTTTTAGGGGTGTAAAAAGGAGAACATATACACATTAACTCTGAGCCTAACATTTGTGATCATGGCTAACTCAATGCTTTATTCTGATATTCTGCTATTGTACTTCGGCTTCACATTATCCCTCAGCTTTTCTTTTGTTTCCTCCGCGACCAGTGTGAAGGAAAACCAGATAGATCGACTGGCATTGCTGGCTATAAAATCGAGGATTGATCATGATCCACTAGGAGTGACAAGAGCATGGAATGATTCTGCAGCGCTGTGCCAATGGAAAGGCATTACTTGTGGTAGAAGGCACCAAAGGGTCACCATGCTTGATTTAAGCAACCAAAAGTTGGGAGGTACCGTATCTTCCCATATAGGAAACCTCAGCTTCCTGAGCTTTCTCTACCTCGAAAACAATAATTTCCATGGAGAAATCCCACCAGAGATTGGTCGTTTGTCGAGGTTAAAAATTCTCAAGCTTGGTAGTAATTCCTTTCATGGTAGGATACCAACCAATCTGTCTCATTGTTCTAACCTCGTTGAATTTTGGGCTGAGTACAACAATCTCGAGGGTGATATCCCACCGGAGCTTGGAAACTTGAAGAAGCTTGAGATATTGATGCTTTATATAAATTACCATCTTACCGGAGAAATCCCTGTGTCTTTAGGGAATCTCTCAGCTCTCTATGGCCTTGGTTTCGGAGACAATAGCTTGCATGGAAGGATCCCTGATACCCTGAGCAAACTAAAACGCTTGGCATTTCTTGAACTGGAAGATAATCATTTATCTGGTCTAATTCCCCCTGCAGTTTTTAACATCTCTTCTCTCAAAGTCATCGATGTAGGAGGTAATCAGTTCCATGGAACTATTCCATCTAACATAGGTTTCAGTCTTCCAAACCTGAAAAACCTTACTCTTGGTGATAATAATTTCTTTGGACGTCTACCAGAATCATTATCTAATGCCTCAAAGCTTGTGAAGTTTGATATCTCTGGAAATTATTTCAGTGGGGAAGTATCCTTTACTTTTAGTGGCCTGAAAAATCTATCAAAACTGAACTTTGGTACAAATAATCTGCGTGGTAGTCTAGATTTTCTGACCTCCCTAACCAATTGTAGTAGGCTGCAAGTTTTAGGTCTGGGTAGAAATCAGTTTACAGGAAAGATTCCATCTTCTGTAGCCAACCTCTCAATAATCATGACAGAATTATCATTAAGGTTTAATCAAATATCTGGCACCATTCCTGTAGGGATAACAAATCTTGTCAATTTAAATCTACTTCTTATAGAGTTTAATCAATTAACCGGCCATATCCCTCCATCCATTGGTAACCTTAAAAACTTGCAGGATCTAAACTTGGGTATGAATAAGTTAACAGGCAGAATTCCAGCGTCAATAGGAAATATATCAATATTAACAGTGCTTGATTTGGAATATAACTCTCTGTGGGGTAGCATACCTCCAGAAATTGGAGAATGTCAAAGTTTGACGGAATTGTACTTAGCTCACAATGGGCTCACTGGCTCTGTTCCCCATCAAATTTTTAGCATTAGGACACTTTCTATTATTTTGTCCCTGCATGACAACCTTTTATCAGGTTCTTTTCCTTTAGAAGTGGGAAACTTGGAGAATCTTGTTACATTAGATATTTCAGGTAACAGATTTTCAGGTGAGATTCCCAGTACTCTTGGAGGTTGTACAAGCCTGAAAATTCTTCTAGCAAAGAACAATCATTTCGATGGAAGCATTCCTTCTTCATTGGGTTCCCTGAGAAGTATTGAAATGATAGACTTCTCTCAAAACAATTTGTCTGGCCAAATTCCAGAGTCTCTCGAGGGGTTATCGTTCTTGAAACACTTAAACCTATCCTTCAATGCCTTGGAAGGGATGGTACCAAGAGGAGGGGTTTTCAAGAATGCAACAGCAGTTTTGGTATCTGGTAATAAGAAGCTTTGTGGAGGAATAGCTAAACTTGAGCTACCGTCATGCCACTTCAAGGAATTCAAGAAATCAAAAATAATCTTGATTGTTCTTGGATTTCTTGGACTCTTTTCCCTGTCATGTTCTGTGATTTTTTCTTGGTTGAAAAATAAAAGATCCAAGAAAAAGCCTAGTTCATCAGCACTGTCCTTGATGGATTCAATTCTAAAGGTCTCCTATGGCCAACTCCTGAAAACAACTGATGGATTCTCATCAGCCAATTTGATTGGCAGAGGAAGCTTTGGACATGTCTATAAAGGAGTTCTCAGCCAAGGCCAAGACAGAACTGTTATTGCAGTGAAAGTGATGAATCTTCAAAACCAAGCAGCTTCCAAGAGCTTTCTTTCTGAGTGCAAAGCCTTGAGAAATATCAGGCACCGTAATCTTGTCAAGATCATATCCGCTTGTTCCAGTGTTGATTTTCGAGGTAACTCTTTTAAAGCTCTTGTCTACGAATTCATGGCAAATGGTAGCTTAGAGAGATGGCTGCACACATATCCTGAATCAAACAGAGAGAATGGTGAACGACCAAAGAGCTTAAACTTTCTTCAAAGACTAAACATAGCCATAGATGTGGCTTCTGCACTTGATTATCTCCATCACCATTGCCACAGTCCTATAGTCCACTGTGACCTGAAACCAAGCAACGTCCTCCTTGACGAAAACATGGTTGCCCATGTAGGAGATTTCGGGTTAGCCAGGTTTCATCCAAAAATTATAAACAGATCTAGCGCAGATCAAACTAGTTCGCTTGGTCTAAAGGGAACAGTTGGTTATGCTGCCCCAGGTAAATCTTTCTATTTCTGGTTTCAAATGAATTTCACTTCTTGAATGATAGGCAGTAAAGTTATGAGAATCAACTAATTGATACTACTAAGTTGATTTGTAAAATTGCAGAATATGGCATGGGAAGTGAAGTGACCAAAAGCGGTGATGTTTATAGCTATGGGATACTCTTATTAGAAATGTTCACAAGGAAACGACCAATTGATGATATGTTCAAAGATGGTTTCACCCTTCTCGATTTCACAAGAAGGGCATTGCCTGAAAATGTGCATCAAATTGTGGATCCTTTACTGCTACATGAAGCTAATCTTGAGGGAGGAGAAGCATCTACCAGCAAGAATCCTATGCCATCACGCAGTAAAGGGGAAAAAACACAAGACTGCCTTATTTCAATCTTGAGTATTGGACTTGCATGTTCTGCAGAATCACCCAAAGATCGAATTGACATTACTGATGCAGCTAATGAATTACATTCAGTCAGGCAAAAGATTCTTCAGAAGGAACTCCGTGCAACAAGATAGGAGCTCCCTGACATGGGTTGTTACTACTGGGTGTTTTTAGATTAAGATTTTTGGCATGAACAATAAACATATGCGATCTCCTGTTCTTCTTCACAGTGGATTCAGATTCCCTTTTTGGATATGAAATAGGTCACAATATCAAATCAAACCAGATGGAGTTTGCTAGTCATTTTCTGATGAGCTATGTACAATTTGCAATCATACCATCTATTGTTCTCAAAGATGCAACATGGTTCAACTAAGAGTCACCATTGAGGAATGAATCTCTAAATCCATCTACATTAATGTTTTCTTTTGTTCCTTTTATTTCAATAAGCTGAAATATGTCAGTGTAGAGGAAACAGATTTATAAGTCTGAACTGAAAGTCATGAAAGAGGAAACACTTCATGTACTTTTTCAGATCAGATTTTTCTTCCAATCAGAAGATCATGATCGATGTTACGTAAGTGTCTGTATGTGGATAAAAACAAGACTGAATTTGCTCTTTAAGTCTATGCAAATCTGCAGATATTGAGAAGGAACCAAAGGAAAATCATCCCACCACAGCATCCATCTCCATTTTTTCTTCCAAATCAGAAAATTCCTCCAATAAAGACAGCCTTAGACTGCTGGCAGCCACAATATAAAAGTCAGGCATATGTGTAAAGCACTATGATCCCACAAATTTAATACTGCTTGATGCCTTCAACTTCTTTCCACACATAGAACAAACTCTGGCAAGGCAATATTATATTTACATAGACTGTATATTAGATATTAATACTTGACTATAATCTGTTTTTTGTTTCTGATTTATAAAAAAATCCAGCAGACACCTATTCGATAATATTAAAATTTAATAGTATTTCCAATTTAGTGGTTATCGTAACCATGCTTAAATGTGTTACCTGCCTTGCCATTATCATATGGTGCCTCAGCTTCTTACTATGGTGTTGCTTAGCAGCCTCCACAATTTCTACCAAAACAATGAAGAAAGACAAGACGGGACCATCTTGCTTTGCTGGCCATAATGTTGCTGTATGTTTGTGTAGATTTTAGAGAAAAAAATAATAATTTTATTTTTCATTTCTTAAGATATTACATTTAATATATTTATAGAATTCCTAAATTATTAATAAAATACCTATTTTGATAGAACTTTTATTATATAAAATTTTTATTATTGTAAAATACTTATTCTAATAAATAATAATAAAGTATTTTATTCAATTACCCTCCTCAAATTGGTGTAAGAATGTCACACATGTCCAACTTATAAATTAAGTTTTGAAATATTATTTTATGGTTTACCAGTGTCAATCATTTTCTTTATTTAAAAATTTTGATTTTACTAAATTTATTGCACCTATAGATGATAAAAAGTTAAATTGAGACAGAAT